GGGGATTGTAGAAATTTGACTGCCAATGAGGGAGGGTCATCAGATAACCACAGAGCCTGAGGTAGAAGGATTTTCACGATATGTTTGTTTGCCACCCACCCTCGCTCAGGCACAAATTTAATGATCGTTCACTCTTTACCTGTCTTTGTCGTATATTTCTTTGCAGGAACTTGGGGGCGCAACAGGCTCTGCGGGTATGAGATGAGAAAACTATAAGCAGTCAATCATAACTGGATAAATGTGAATATTACAAACTATGTTAGCAATAACTTTTAATTCAACCAGAATTCAGAATCGACGAACCAACAAAGCAGTGACGTTAAAAACAACAGAAACGATCTTCTACATCTTACTTGGTTCACAGCAGTCCTGTTTCTTGTTAATCAGGTCCTCAAGATCTGACAACTTGTCCAATATTTGGCTGCAAAGTTTGTTTTTCTTGCCAGCAACAGCACCAATTGCGAGATAAACCAGAAAGATGAGCGCACAAAGTTTCATCGCTTTCGTCTTCTCACACTGTCTTGAATACCACTTGATTTCAGCCAGACTCGACGATAAGTGAGGAAGTTATAACAAACGCCAAATTATAAACGCATGAATCGCCGCTGACAATTACTACAATTTCACCGCACTTAAGTTTATACTCAAGCCTTATGATTTGTTGCGAGAATTTCTACATTCATCGGCCTTATGTTAAGAAGCTATTTTTACCAATTTTCTTTAACCAACTGACCAATAGCAATCCTGTTTCATAGTGGTATTCATGCTTTAGACGAATATCGAATAACCATAGATCCTGACGACGTAAGAGCCAATGTAATTTATCAAATCTTTCAAGCTAATGGTGATGGCAAACGTGATGCATGATTAAGGCCAAAATTAATGCGACACGTGGAATTTCAATAAAGGCGAGCGTTATTCGTTCGTTAAGGTATGAAGTAATTCATCAAATCTTTCAAGTCAAATGATAATGACAAACATGATGCGTGTTTAGGGCCAAAATTAATGCGACACACGAAATTTCCTTTAAGGCGAGCGTTATTCGTTCGTAAAATTGTGTAAGTAATTCATTAAATCTTTCAAGCCAAATGATAATGGCAAACGTGATGCGTGTTTAGGCCAAAAAAAAACGTCAAATTTCCTTTAAGGCGAGCGTTATTCGTTCGTGAAGTTATGAATCAGCGTTAGGCGTGATTTGCTGCATGAAATACAAGTGACCCGTGAATTTCTCTTTCATTTCGTGAAAATCTTAGCACACGAGTTTCCCTTTTGAATTCGTGACGTGTGAATTTTCTACAATTCGTGCGTGAAACGGAGTCAGGATTTTCCAAAATGAGTAATAGCTGTCGGTAAACTAAAGAAATATAACCTTAATATTTTAAGTGAAGGCAGGGTCATTATGATTTTAAAATTTATATGAAGACCACTCCTTCCTTTAAAAAAAATTATTAGCCTTGCAATTTTTCTCTATGAGTTGCAAACTTTTCTTTTTAATGCACTGATTTCGGTTACTTAGCCTCGGATTCTTTTCCCCAAAGTTCTCGAATTCTCAGATCTGCTCTTAAAGCTGAGGTTTTCAGTCAAAAGATAGTCAAGCACGGCTTTTGCTTTTGGGCAAATTGGGATATGGAAGCTGATGTATCGCAGAAACTAACGGTACGAGTATCTTTTACTTCATTGCAAAATAGATTGTTATAAAACGACAACGACATCACCAATTGCAAGATAGACCAGACCGTTATCTGTCCAAAACTTCATCGCTGCAGTTTCACTATCTTGACTAACTCTTGCTTTTAATCGGACTACGTGATAACGAGAGAGGCTGCTGAAAACTTCGGCCAAAGGCCAGCTAATTATTTGCCTCATACGAGGCATCACCCGCCTTCAGGCCAGCTTAGCGGATGAAAATGCAGGGGGCTTAACGTCAAGGCTAGTGCCCCGCATACAGCCCTCAGATACATCTACTTTTCCGACACCAAAGAAAAATTCAACAAGAAATGGCTTGAGGAAATTCTGGTAGATCAGAGAGTGGCAGAGACATAATGCATGAAAAATTGAAGTATTTAATCGCCTCTTTTTAAACTTCATTTCGAGACTTTTTCAACGATATTCGCTTGCTCCCAGTGAGCAGAATAGCATTTTAAAAAATCACTGCGAATTATCCCGAAGTAAGAGAAGAAACAAGGTGATCACAAGTAAAGTTTAGGGAGCCCTCTGGATTGACAATACGGCTCTCCCGCTGGGTTTTCCTTAAACTTCGCCGCAGGACATTGCTAAAGTAATAAATGAATAAAGGGGTTAAGTTTCTAAAGAAACTGTGGTGCCGCGTCGGTGGGAGGGTAAAGCAGCTAAAAAAGTGTAAAAAAATTAAAGCGGCCGACAAAGGCAATGTTTTCTACAAACCTACAGATTCACATAGTTACTTATTGTATTCATCTTCACATCCATCTCACGTCAAGAACTCAATACCTTTTTCACAGTTTCTCAGACTTCGTCGGTTATGTGGTGACGACTCTGATTTTTCAAATCAGAGGCAATGTACTAGTTTTTCGATAAAAGTGGCGATCCTGTTTCTGTCGTTTAAGCGGGCCACCACCGTGCCCAACAAATTGATCGACAGTCAGCACTACAAACGGCTGAGAAGGAAAACACTGACCGCATTCCATTCACTCCTACATTTCACCCTCACAACCACGCGGTTAATTTATCATTCTTAAAAACTTTAAATTACTCCAAAACGATTCGGAGACTGGCAATATCTTTTCCCAACCCCCACTTGTTTCATTCAAACATGACAAAAACATAGGCAACTTTTTGGTCAGAAGTTCATTTCAAACCAGTGACCAATCTGGAACTTTCAAATGCGCTCGCTCACGATGTAAAAATTGGCCTTTCATTCATAATGTAGAGAAAATATCGGCACCCAAGAGATCCATTAAGATCACTGATCACTTTACGTGTACCTCCGCCAATGTTATTTACTACATAACTTGCACTTACTGCAACAAGTTATACATTGGCGAAACATACAGGAAGACGACTAGGTTACCGTTTCCGAGAACACCTTCGCGACGTGGAAAGAAATGACAAGGACGCATCCAAACCAGTTGCTAGACACTTTAATCTCCCTAATCATTCAGAACAACCCATGGCAGTTTGCGGCCTTTCCTTACATCTATGCAGTTCGGAAAGCCGCAAAACACTAGAACAAAAATTTATCTTCCAAATCGGCATGCTTAATCCCCACGGATTCAACGAGCGCTTTTCATCCAATTAATTTATTCCTGTTTTCTCGTCACCATTTTCCCACCAATAGCGTCGCTCCGCTTTCTGCATAGAAACCCACAATTCCCCCAATCGCTCTGACGAGGGGCTAGCGCTCGAAACGTCAGTATTTTTACCCTTTACGGTGGCCAATTTACGTTTTCAACTCAGTTGTTAACACTAAATTACCTGCTATTGTTAAAATAAGATGCGTTACATTGTAAAACTTAGCAGCATGTGCGTCCTCTATGGACCCGCTCCCGCAAGTTCAACTACTTAAATATTCGTTGTCGGTCACCAGGTGGATCTGACTGAGTAAACGTCTCAGTTTCTTATTCTGGTTGTCCCTCCTCTTATTACAGACATTATAATACTAACCGCCTTTTCGTTTTTTCCTTTTCATCACGAAAGCATAGCACTTATCATATTTCCCTTTTTTTTGACTGTCTGATTGGTTATTTCAACTCCATATTTTGCATAAAGTGTTTTCCCTGGGGAATCCATGCAAATGAATAACCAAATACTTTGGATATTGAGATTCTAGTCTAAATATTATTCTTACTTGATCAACTATCAATCCTGTATGAATAGCCACAAGGTTAAAGTTGCTCAAAAACCTTTTCAGACTTCAGGGCATGTTTTCGCCAAACCTAAGAATCCTGTCACTAAAGAACAACGAACCAACGCTATTTATTCTATTCCGTGCAATGACTGTGATCAAGAGTTTACAGGACAGATCAAACGTCAGTTTGGTACACGTTTGAAAGAGCATCAAAAAGCGCCCTTTAAATCGTGATGATGGCGGCTTACTACCTGACACTTATTAACACCTCGTCAGAAAAAGGGCAGCTACTTAGTAAGCATATAAAAGGACCTCTTGTTGCAGCGATTAGATCATCCCTGATGAAGGCACTAGACAGGAGTATCGAAACGTTGGGTTTATGAATTGTAACATCTTGGTTACATTTATAAAATTTTTTAAACCAGAGTAGCATCAAATCATGTTTTGATTGTCCACCTGGTTGCCTTTTGAACTTTAATATAAACTTTATAACACTTCTCGCCTTCTCATTTTTTCCCTTTTGTCACAAAAACAAAACATTCACCGTGGGATGCCATGTTTTCCTTTTTTTGAATGTCTGATTGGCTATCTCTACTCCATACTTTGCACAATGTATTTTACTGGCGACTCCCCATGCAATTGAGTAATCAAATTGGATCATGATTGTAAGTCCGTTTTGAGATTCTAGTCGAAACATTATTGTTAATCGATCAAATATCAAACATTTTCAGAGCAAACATAAATTTTATTGAAAACAAATTTGCCAAGCAAATGGTATCATTATCAGAAACACCGAGCAGTCACGCATCTCAAT